GATAGATAGATAGATAGATAGATAGATAGATAGATAGATAGATAGATAGATGATAGATAGATAGATAGATAGATAGATAGATAGATAGATAGAGACAGACAGACAGACAGACAGACAGACAGACAGACAGACAGACAGATAGATAGATAGATAGAGATATAGATAGATAGATGATAGATAGATAGATAGATAGATAGAGACAGACAGATAGATAGATAGATAGATAGAGATATAGATAGATAGATGATAGATAGATAGATAGATAGATAGAGACAGATAGATAGATAGATAGATAGAGATATAGATAGATAGATGATAGATAGATAGATAGAGACAGATAGATAGATAGATAGATAGATAGATAGATAGATAGATAGAGACAGACAGACAGACAGACAGACAGACAGACAGACAGACAGACAGACAGACAGACAGACAGACAGACAGATAGATGATAGATAGAGACAGACAGACAGACAGACAGACAGACAGACAGAGACACAGACAGACAGACAGACAGACAGGCAGGCAGGCAGGCAGACAGAGATAGACAGAGATAGACAGACAGACAGAGATAGACAGACAGGCAGATAGGCAGATAGATAGATGATATAGATATAGGTATAGATAGATGGATAGATATTAATGATATATAGAGATGATATAAATACATAGATAAATCTAAAGACTTATTATATATAGATATGTACCTGTGATTTCCTTTTTAAAGAGAAATCTTAATGGTCAAAAATCCCCACACAGGCTCTCACTGAGTTGCGTACTGTCAAAAATGGAGCAAGCTGTAAATTACGACATTTGAAGCAAAAAAAAAAAAAGTTTTGAAACAAGGAGAAGATGGTACCTTTAAAGAAGCAGCCTTTCTGTGTCTTTATGTGTGCATGTGCAAAATCACAGGTCAACATATCCCTTTTTTAAAAAAAAACAAAAAATGGTTTTGATGCTTCAAGAAATATTATTTTTGCAAAAAAAGCATTTCCCTAAACTGAAATCAAGACGATTTCTTTTGAGCAGACTCTGTGCTAGATTTGGCTGACTGAAAAAGAGAAGGAAAAAAAAAAAAAGGAATTTTGGAGCCATGGTGCTTGAGTCAATGAAAATGTCAGGATTACAGAATGAGCATGATTTACCCCAGTGTGTTTCCTGGAAGCTTAATCAACCTAAGCATTTATTATTCAGTTTATTTGGTCCAGATGCTATTGAACCTTCTGAAGTTCTAAGTTTGTTGGAGGTTTCGGAGGAATGAACTGCATTTCCTAGGCCTTTAAAAAAAGAAGAAGAAGAAGTTGAAACTATGGTGGAATCTATAGCAAGTTTTTAAAAGAAGAATTTTTTTCTTGCCTCAGTTGTTTCTCCTAGGTATTACACATAATTTGGACGTAAAAGAAACGAATTTGATGTTGTATTGTTTAACTGCTGCCCGTTTGTTGATAGCTCAAAACTGGAAGAGTAAAGTTTTACCTACAATGGAGGACTGGAGAGTGAAGGTTTCGCATCTTGCTGAAATGGCAAAGATTTCGGCTTATTTGAAGGATCATTCAAATGAACAATTTTTATCAATATGGAGAAGATGGATTGTTTATATTCAAAATAAGCATAGAATGGTGGAATATAATTTAGGTTTTTAGAAAAAAAATTTTTTTTATATATATATATATATATATTTCACCTACTTATGTAGAATAACACTTTGTGGAGTTAGGGATATTAATATCAGTTTACTTTTAGTTGAATAGTATCCTGGGATTAGGTTTGGGAAGTCCGGTGGGGGGTGGGGGGTAGGGGTTTTTTTCAATTGTGATGTATCTGTGATGTGCTTTTTTTTATGTTGAAAACAATAAAAAATTTATATTTAAAAAAAAAAAAAAAAAAGAAGTTGAAGGAAGCTGATAAAATGCAATATTATTTTATTTTTATGATGTTATTTACGGGACGTCTGGAATAGCTGGCTTGATACACATTGAATGTGAGATCAGTTTTCTATTAGAATAAAGCTAATATAACATTTTTGTTGAGTTTTTGACTTTGAATGTCTGAGAGAATGAAGGTTGAATGAGCTTGGTGTAGGGTCCCTGCTTGGGTGGGGAGTTGGACTAGATGACCTCCAAGGTCCCTTCCAACTCTCTTATTCTATTCTGTTCTATTCTATTCTGCATTCTATTCTATTCTATATTCTATTCTATTCTATTCTGCATTCTATTCTGCATTCTATTCTATTCTATTCTGCATTCTATTCTGCATTCTATTCTATTCTGCATTCTATTCTATTCTATTCTATTCTGAATTCTATTCTATTCTATTCTGCATTCTATTCTGCATTCTATTCTATTCTGCATTCTATTCTATTCTATTCTGTATTCTATTCTGCATTCTATTCTGCATTCTATTCTATTCTATTCTATTCTGCATTCTATTCTATTCTATTCTATTCTATTCTGCATTCTATTCTATTCTGCATTCTATTCTATTCTATTCTATTCTATTCTATTCTATTCTATTCTGCATTCTATTCTATTCTGCATTCTATTCTGCATTCTATTCTATTCTATCCTACCCTACCCTACCCTACCCTACCCTATTCAAGAATGTCTCCCGCCACTGTTGGCAATAGCAGAGTTCCTTACAAGCACGTCCAGTTCCCGGCTGTTGGAAACGGGAGCGGGTGGACTTCCACCAACTTTCAATCCAGCTGAAAAAGTCGCCTGGCAGAATCCGCGTTGGCCACAGCTGGAAGGAGAAGGGGGGGGGGCTGTCAAAAGGACAAGCTTGACCCAGGAAAGTCCTTCTCAAAGCCCGGCAGACTCCAGACGCCAGACCGAAGCCAAGACAAGACAAGTAAGAAGAGGGGGGGGGGGTCTACGTTTTTCGGGGTGGGTGAGTGAGTGGCACTGGTGTGGGGGGGTGTGGGGTGGGGGGGGAGAGAGAGAGAGGGAGAAGCCAAAGGAAAGCAGGCGCTCCGCTTCCCCTCCGGATCGGCCCACCCCTTCCCCAACATTCCAAGTTTTTTTTTTCTCCCAGGCCCCGGAACTTTTCAGCCACCAATCGCCTGCCTTCTCTCGGTCCTCCCCCTCCTCCCCTTCCCCTCCCCTCCTGTCCCCGCTCGGGCCCGTCCTCCCCCCCCCCTTCCCCTCCTTCCCCTGATTCCTCTTGCAACGAGGTGGTGCTGAAGTAGCGCGCGAGCCTTTCCCTCCGCCCCGGAGAAGGAGGGAGTGAGGATAAAGGCAGATAGCGGGTCGGGCTCGCAGGCCAGGAGAGGTGGAGGGCCAGGGCAGCCGGCGGGAGGAGGAGGAGGGGGGGGG